AATAACAACTCCTGTTCTTATTGGCCCAATGTTGGAAATGGGCGAAATTCAGATCTTTTGACTGGATAGGCGAGGCACTATGCAAGCCGGGCATGAAGTATACATACACACACATATCAGCTGTCACTCTAGACCAGGGGTGTCCAAACTACGGCCCGGGGGCCAAATGCGGCCCGCGGACCATTTTGAATCGGCCCTCATAAATTCAGTCAATTAAAGTTGAAAACATGTTCTAACAAATCTAAGTTGATAAGAAAAAAAGCCCAATAACAAATGTGCATAACAGCCTTGAACTAGACCCTTCATATTACCTTTTATTATAACAAATCTGAAGCTTCTGTCTGTTTTAAGGAATGAGCTGCAAGACAATAAATAAAATCCTTTGGAGAGCTGGTGGTGTTTTTTTCTCAAAGCATTTTCAAGTATCAAGAATAATTGACCTACATTGGATTGATTTTTCCAACTTATAACAGAACTTATGAGGCAAAATACCTCTAGTGAGTGGCCCAGCCCTTCTTATATTTTTCTGTATGTTGCCCTCTGTGAAAAAGGTTTGGACACCCCTGATGTAGGACAAAGTGTACCAGGATAAACCGTCCAACTGTCACTCTATAGTTGGAAAGGGTCATTTATCGTCATCAAATGGTCCATCAGGCAGCTCCTCCCACATCCCAAATTATGTGTTAACACAATATGAACAAAATCTGTAGCTAGGAAATTACTCACTTCCAGTATTTTCAAACAGAACCTTGTCATTAAGGCCGAGCCGCAACTCAGGCATTCCCGACAGGAAGACACGCATCTTGATGGAGCCGACGATCTCACTACGCAGAACATTGCCATTGGCACTAACCTGTAAATAACGAGATTACAATGTCACAGAGAACCCCACAAAAAAAAAACGTAGAGAAAGCTCTCACAGCAGCCAACAGAAAATACAGCACGATCAGCGAGCTTTTGTTGTGACGCACAAAGGGAGGAAGTTTACAATCACTGTGACTGGCATTCCTTAAGCAACACTGCACTTCTAAAACAAGGAGTCCGTACCAGGAGGTTGACTGACTCAATGACGTCCAGGAAGACCTCGTTCTTCCTGTACTTGATGCCCTCTGACCTCCAGGAGACAGCGTTGGTGACTGTGGCGGGGGGGCGTGGGGCGCCGGTGTCTAGCTTGTGCCCCTCCTGGGTTATGTATCTGAGAGACAAAAATGTAAACACTGAGGCGAAATAGAGAAAAGAGGAAATAGACCGTCTGCAGAGGTAAGTTCCCAGAAAGCATCAAAGGAGCACAGAGAGTGTCATGGTCACGAAGGGGAGGATGGTCTGACTGATAGCTAAACTTGGAACAGTTGGGGGAAGTCCAGAGTTAGCTTGCTACATGTCTTCTAAAACCACAGTGTTGTGAGTTCAAACGGTCATTGAAAGTACTATATGCTGAGTAAAGTAAGGTTCTCTTGAGTTGATGATTTATTTTTAACGACCTGCACGCCTCCAGGACCCTGAGGCGGCAGGGAAGATAGTGGCCGACCCCTCCCACCCTGGATACAAACTGTTCACCCCCCTCCCCTCTGGCAGGAGGCTGCTCTCCATTAGGACCAAAACCTCTAACCACC